ATATAGTAAATAATAAGAATTAGCTCTAAGAAACATCTTTCAAATTTCTTTTACTCTTATACTCGGTTTTCACAGTGAGCGTTAAATTTTGCAAGTTACGATGCCCTTCAGCTGTCTTAAAATAACCAATAACAATTTTTATTTACCCCAATCGACCCTGATTTTTCAGATCGACTTTTGTTGACCCTAATACTGGTAAAGTATATCAAGAGGGTGATAGGCTTACCCGACGCACCCTTGGAGAAACGCTTCAAATGATTGCTAACGCTACAGATCCTAGTTATCTTTTTTATCAAGGTTGTCATTTCTACCTTTCAAAAAACCAATAAAATAACTGTATCTTAAACTTTCCAAATAAACCTAATCTAGCTTCTGTTTTCAGGAGAAGTGGCAAAACTGATCGCTGCTGAGATGCAGGAGAACGGTATTACATTTCCGCTGTGATTGAAAAACCTGAGCGTTTCCACCGCTGTTTTGATCATTAAAATTTCGAAATGGAATGGCAGCCTTGCCTAATTTTTTTCACTTTGTTTTCTACTCAAGTTATTAAAATTCCAGGCGGTATAATTACACTTGACGATTTGAATAATTATAACACAATCATTGACCGTTCTCCCATTGAAGTACCACTACTGTCAAAAGGTCTAGTAATGTGCGGACCACCTCCACCCAGTTCATTCGCTGTAACGCAGTTAATTGTTTCAATTATGGCAAGTACGGCATTTGAGTAACTTTTTCCCATAGTCAACAATACTTACTTCAATAAGTGTTTGAAAAAAAGCTCTGTAAAAGCTTATTTCCAGACTTTTACGACTCTAGCAATTACATTGACCTAAATGACCCACTGATATACCACCGCCTGATTGAAGCAGAAAAATTTGGTTATGTCCTCAGAAGCCTTCTTGGTGACTTACCCTACGTTAAAGACGCTGCAACGTTAGTTGAAAATATGACATCAAGGTTACTCTTCTGTCCTCAATTATTTCCGGAAGCAGTTTAAACTAATATAATGTATACAACAGCGAACTCTTTTGTGGAAAATTCATGAATTTGATGTAGTAGATCGGTCCCGAACGATTAAACGTTTCTTTCAGCTCGTATACAACGTGGGTTAAAAGTTTAATAATGGACAATGCCCAGCCGATAAATTACTACTCGGAAAATCCTCAGTATCAAAAATCTGACCACGGGACGTCACATGTTAGTACAATCGATCAATATGGCAATGCTGTCTCTGCAACAGACACAATCAATTTGAAGTAAACTACAAAGCTTCTTAATTCTACATAAAATTGGAGGCAATCGCTATAGCTGCATTGATAAGCAATTTGAAAACTTCTTCCAAGTCTTGTACGAAGAGAATGAGATATATCTCAAAAAAGTAGATAATTGCGGTGACTAGTTGGTTTAAAATAATTTCCAGGTTAGGCGCACTTAGAGTTTCGCCAAAACTAGGGATTGTATGGAACAATGAGATGGATGACTTCTCAACACCTGGAATGCCAAATGCTTTTAAAATTGCTCCATCACCAGCCAATTTTATTCAGCCTGGAAAACGACCAATGAGCAGCATGTCTCCAACAGTTATTTTCGATAAGCGTACCGGAAAGGTTTCGAAAGACACTAGATCCCCAAAAATCCTTGCAATAACAGGAGAGGCAAATTGATCATTAAAAAGTTTAGGTAAAAATGTCAGTTGGTGCATCTGGCGGGTCTTACATTATTTCTGCAACTGCACAAACCATAATTCGCTCAATAGTTTTCAACCAAACAGTAAAGGAAGCAGTCGATGCTCCACGTCTCCACAATCAGTATCTTCCCCACGTCACTCAATATGAAACTGCATTCCCTGAGGTTTTTTTGTCATAATTACTGCCTGAGTCAAAAATGTCAAAAAATATCTGAAGCTAAAAGTCTAAAGCGTAATACAGCGATGTTGAAATTTACCACGACCAAACGACTTCTAATTTAGGAAATAATCAACGACCTGCGATACAGAAGGGGACAAAAAATGGTAGCCACAAATAGACAGGCCAGTACAGTACAAGTAATCCAGGCTCACGATGACGGTTTCATTTACGGAAACAGCGACTTTAGAAGGAAGACTTCCACTTATGCAGCGGGATTTTAACTTCATTTATTCCGAAAAAAAAAGTTCCGGTTCTTTCAGATTTGTAAAATGAGACTGTAGACTTTGAAACAAAAAACAGTAGTCAATGTTTTAAAGGCCCTTTGCTCCCAATAGCGGCTCTACAAATCTCCATTGTCACCTGAGCATCAAACGAAATGCTGCAATGAATGTCCTTAGATCAGCAAGAAACCGTCTAGAGAACTGCGCTTTTTAAAGAGCTAAAGGGTCAAAATGTTCACGTTTGTCATTTTAAAAAGCGTGTAATGTAAGCGGGTATTTTGCGAGTCTTAAATAATACTTTTATTCTTCCCGGCTCGGCTGTATTCTGTGCTTTTAATTTAATGATTTTTTTTTAAACAGTTGTAAATAAGAAATAAAAAGAATGGTATGTTTAAAAAAATGTTAAACTGTTAATAAGAGGTCTATAACTTGATGACCTCACTGATCCCTTTTCCTCACCACTCTTGACGGCATTAAGTACTGGAAACTGCAAGATATAGATTCCAAAACTGTTTTTAGAAAACTAAAACAGAAGGTTCAACAACAGGTGCTCTGATCGCTTCGTTTGCACAACACATCATACTTGAGATGACCAAAGTTCTTGAGGCTGGTTACAGCAATGATAAATCAAATAAAGTTCAAATTCAATGACAAAACGTGGAAGAAATTAGCAGCGGCAATGAAGTCTCTTACGCTGTTATGGCGTTGTCGAGAACGCTTGGAAGAGTAGCAGTAAATCAAGATTCAAGTCTCATAACAGAGTCCTTCATCACTACTCTGTAATCGGTTTTTTTTTCGTGGTGGAATTCCTCAAACTAGAGGAATGAAGAAACAAACCTATAAGAGCAACCAGAATGACAAGTCTACAAGAACAGACAAGACGAGAAAATAAATAAAAGAGAGTAAAGTTTAAAATAATTCCAGATTACACGTGCTGAAGCAGAGTTGTTCCAAATGACCAGTAATCGGCAACGTTTCCATTTGCTATGAGCGAAATAGCTGAAGTTGCGATAAAAATGTCTGTGTCTACCTTGTGCAGAAACAACGACACCCTATTACTTTGAGCTCCCCTCAAGTTTTTTCGACTAAACAGACTTTTTGTGCTGCTCGTCCAGGTCAAAATATTCCTTTTTCCTTCCAAACAGCTCTACAATCTCC